GGCGTGTGAAATTGTCTCACAGCAAAGTCGTAGAAAATGCAAATAACTATATATTTCACTTTAGAGATACGAATTCTTTAATTCAATTGTGTTCAAGATGCACATTTTTAGATAAATATCTGTAAACGTAAATGTAAATTAAATTAAGTAAAAAGCAATTATTTGCAAAATAGAGAAGCTAGTAAAGTGTGCAAAGTCGTTTCGGGTAAGCCTGGAGAGGGCTCTGCCGCGCCCCGATATACTCTAATCATTATACAAAAATTTAAAATTATAAGTCATACTGATATCATAAATGCGAAAGTTAAGATGGATGAATATTTGTTAGAGTTTGTAGCCTAAACTGCTGAAGGTATCTCGATGAGATTTAGCATTGATGTGAGGATAGTCTGGAAGCACACTTAGGCAACTTACATTTGTTTTTTTTTTAATTTCACACGGATTAAGTCGCTAGAGAATATTATGTTACGAGTTAATTTCTCAATAAACAATTAAAACATCATAAGTTTATGGTTTTATTTTTATGTAGTTATTAAGTTTTTATTAAAATAAAATTGAGCATGAATTTGTCGAGAAATGGAATATGTTAATGTATAAAACGCTGAATTTAATCTAAAAAGGACAACGGAACAATGCACTGTAATTTGCGCGGCCATTGTTCTGTGCAAGATGTAGGAATTCACTGACATACTATTGTGTACACTTTTAGTCTATTGAAAAAAAATACGTGTGATATATTAAAAATTTCGTTTAGAGGGCGAATTTTAAAAAATACTAGCCTACGATTGTGTACAACCAACTGGCTTAATAAGGCCCCACTAAGGGCGTTCCGCTCCCTTTAAGTAGATTCCGAGAACATTGTAAAAAATAATCCATCTATATGTTCACTAGTTCACCAGTAGTTTATGTTGTACTAGCTTTCGCTCGCGACTTCATCTGCGTGGAATTAAAACAAAAACAAAGTGAGTAGCCTACGTGTTCTTTCAGAGTAAACTCGACATCTAACTATACCAAATTTCATAGAAATTCGTTCAGCCGTTTAGGCTGCAAACTCTAACAAACATCCATCCATCTAAACTTTCGCATTTATAATGTTAGTAAGATATTCACCCATGACCATTGTGAATACACTCAATATAAAAGGATCGGTTTCATATAGCAAATGTAAATTTGTCGGAATTATTAGTTAATTATAACGGCCAACTGCGCCGCTCTGTTCCTGAGTTTCAGTTCTCGTAAAGTTTCGCTTTTGGCGGTGAATGTACTGCTCCTATTGTTATACCTTAATTAACTATGAGTTTTACAATTCATTAACATGAAGTTACGAACTAGATTTTCCAACGAAACATCTGTAAAAGTATTGTCAATTCAGTTTTTTTCTAAGAGAATGAGAGACAGATTTAAGTTCAGTTTTTAAGACTTACTTCGTAAAGATAAAAAATCTGATAATGAATCCACAATACTTGACAATCGTAGATATTGTCGGTCACTCCCCGTGAAATGTTCACACGTTTTATTGTCAACTAGATTTCGCCCTCGTGGAATTAAAAAAACAGAAAAGGTGTAGCGTATGTGTTATTCCAGAATATCCTTTACATCTGTGACAAATTTTATCAAGTTCTGCAGTTTAGGCTACAAACTCTAACAAACATCCATCTAAACTTTCGCATTTATAATATTAGTAAGATAGAATTCGATAAAAAAAAAACAAGCGACGGTCGCCCATAGACACCCGCATTTATAGATGCGTTACCAACATTTAAATCAAGAAAGGGGTACAGAAAGAGACTATTTCTCTATCTATGCGTCTTATCTCAAGTCTAATCCACTTCCCAGTCACATCCCTTTCTTGTATAAGGGAGGACTAAACAATTTGACTGTTGTAGAAACTGTATTGTTTTCCACTGCAAAGAAAAAGCTCATTAAAACATTAATTTCTAACAAATAGAAAATATGAGACAGTAAAATAGAGGAAATAAGAATAGTAGACATCGAAACAATAGAAATAGTTCACGCATAATGACTCGCTGTTCTGCCGGGAATTTGAAATATTTGCTCACTCCATTTCTATTAAAAACATAAACAACTAGCTAATTTATCAGAGTAATGCCGTCGACGGTCAGGACAATAAGTGCTTTCAAATTTCTAAATATAATGTAAAAAAAGAAAAGAAAAAATAAACATAAAACAAAAAAAAACTCATTAATGTAACAAGGATTACGCAACAAAAAAAAAGATTCGTGCAAAAAAGAACACGGACCAAGAGTCTGTAGATGTTGATTTAAAAAAAAACTTCTAAATATATTATCTGCATTAAAACCATAATTTACCTATCAAGTAACCAAGTAACCAAAACACATGAACATTATTATTATTTGGTTACACACGGATATCTAATTCGCTGATGCGTGTGTTGATAAGATTGATGGTAACTAGTATATCGATTATATTTGTGAAAATTTATTAATGAAGCCAACAGTAAAGTCTCTGAAAGTTTCGGCAGTGGAAACAATCGTGTGTCTATGGTTCTTTTTGTTTTTAATTTCAAATTGAATGGCGTTATTTATGCCAATGCTATAGCCTGTAGCAATTATGAGATCCTCAACAAAATCAGTATTGTGTGAACATCGCAATCAAATTGATTTGCACAGAATCTGCATACATTGGATTGCGGCCAAAGGCGGGAAATATAAAAAAAATGGAATTTTAACGCTACTGTCTCCAACTATTGCAGTTTTTATTTTAAATTAATAAGTACTGGTATTGTGTTTTTAATGTAGACAGAGGTAAATGTGTCAAAAATGGTCAATTACTTTACGAAATGGTAATAATTATTAACAATTTAACTACTTGCATGCATTCATCGTCATGATGCTGTCTCACTTTCTTCTAGTAGAATGAGAGTGACGACAATAGTTTGTAAGACACTTTTAGCAACGAAAACTAGTGCTTGTAAATACTTGTTTTTCTTTAGACACATGAGAGGCAGTCGGCGGAACAATTTAACGATCCGCATCATTACATGTAGTGTACATAAGTACGGCCGCAAATTCTATTTATACTCTATTGCTCCTTTTCTGAACGAAATTGTTATTGTCATAATTTACGATTTAATGACATCCTTAGGAAGCTTTTTGGCGGGAAACAGTTTTACCTTTTAAGTCTCCATTTATGGACATAAATCTTATATTTTCCCGGATTGTTGCCCTGTGTGGTATTATTTTTGTTTATCTTTTTCTTTTTTACTACTCGTAAGTATGTGTCCGTCATGACACTAGAAACTTTTACAAATAATTTACCGGTTTTTATCAAATTTAGTCACCGCCATTTTGCAAATTGGTAACATTGATACTAAAAATAAACGAGACTGACTATAACTTAGCACAATATTGTTGCCCAGTAGGTTGTTTTGCTCGCGTCATTACGTTAACTTCTGTTTTTATACCGGGCCCGACATTTCTTGCAAAACAAAGTTTTTATCAAAACATCTATTTATCAATCTGCCTAACAAGGTCCTAAAAAAAATTAAGAAATATGTTAAAGAACTAATTTAAATAACTATTTAGATAAAAACATGCAGAATGTAATGTGGAATAATACAAAACTTGAACCAATAATTACTAAAAAAATAATTCGCTGCCATAGACATGAAACAGAAAACAAATCTATAAATAGGGATGTGACTAAAAGGTCGTTAAACCCATCGTCATTAATTAAACAATACAGAAACAGCTGGCATAAATGAATAGTTTTATGACGCCACAAAGCCTATTCAATCAACATTATCAATCACCAGAGCGAACTTAAACCGCTGACGTCACTGTATTAAGTAGCTCCTTAACTTAGCGTTTGAAACATTAAAATCTCACCACATTCTGTAAAAACTTGTATGAAATTTCTTAAGAATCAAGACATTGTCTATATCTTTTAACTTCGATAGCCTGTAGTGTGATATTTATTTTTATTCGTATCATTAATTCAACATACTATTTGAAGAACCTCGCATTTTGTAACAACTCTATTATAGGTAATAAATAATTTATAGCAGCTAAAGTTAATCATCCGTATCATGATTAATTTGTAATTCAATAAGGATTAAAAACGTATGTAGCTTATTAATTAGCAAGCGTATATCAACGATTTTAATTCATTCATTAACCTAATAGTAAAATGAATCTATCGAATCATATATTAATAAGATTAGTTCGTGTACTGGAATTGATGTAGTCAATTTATAGAGCACGTTCCAGTTAGGTTAAACTAATTGGACATAACTTCAACACGTGCTAATAATTAAAAGGAATTTATAGGTCATTTGGGTCCGACTTGAAGATCTCTTGATAGTTGGAACTTGAAACTAGGCAATAATTAGATTTCTACGTATGTAGACACGGTCTAACAAATTAGAAATTGCGAATGTTCGTCTTTTGGAATAGTAAACAAAACTTTAGAATTATTTATTGTTCACTTATATATACTAATTTTGCTTATTTCAAATGTTAACTAAGGCTACCAGGACAATGTAAATAAAACAAATTTATCTAAAATAACTATTTTAGAAACGAAGGAAACCTATACCAAATGAATACCGTGGCGCCTGAATGATTTTAGTAGCAAACATGTAAAATGTACATTTCAATGTAAAATTTTGAGTAAAAGTCTCAATACCTAATTGAGAACAATATTAGGGCAGACATTTTCAAAATACGTCTTTATAATAAGTGTATGTTTTATGTAATTATTTTGTTACAATATGTTCTGTGCTCGATACTTTTGGGTTTGTTGTATTCAATGATGCGCAGTATTCAAATATTACAATGTGTACAATAACATGGATGCGATAAGTAGTTATTGCTTTTATGGTAATTAGGTAATAAGAAAAATATTTATTAAAAACGAGTTTACATTTTTAATCTGTGCTGTCAAATCCCAAAAAACTGGTACGAAGCTAAACGCACCATAGCCAATACTTAAACCAGTAATGTTACAGCTCGTCGCCCAGCACTACAGTTGCCCATAGACATTGTGTTTTGACAAAGTTTTCGTGAGATAAAAATGACGATCCTTACATTTTAATTAAAAATTAAAATAAAATTAAGTGCCTCAAAACATGACTGTGTGGAAAAACCTTGAAAATGAGGAATGCTACGCCGTCGGTGAGTATTTTATTTCATAACTAGTAACGTTCGTTACAAGGAGTTATCAAATTTTTTGATATAGTTTTGTAATCGTAACTTCCCTCCCGCGGAGTTTAGATAAATATAAACATTGCCTCATTCCCTGCGTTGCTATCAGTTCCATCCTGGTACAAAATTGCAGTTTTATGTAACATCTTATTAATGTTTTTGAGTTATTTGACCACTCCCATTAACGTATGAGTAGCGTATTGATAAGTGATTGGAAAATACGCGGGGGACAATTTTAAATTGAAGTTTCATTCATGCTTTGGGGTGTTTTTAATTATGATTCTATGTTTTTATTGTCTTTAAAAGTAAACAAATCAGCAACTTCATTATTTTACCTTTATAATTGTAGAAAATATGCTTCTTACATACATATAAACATCAAAGAGATTTGTTTTACCTCTCCTAGGACTTAACAACTAAGCTAAAGTTACCATAGAACTGTAGATTGAGTGTAACAAGATGGTAATCTGTTTCATACAAGTGTTTTGGCAGTTAGACCTAAAGTTCACAATTATTTATAATTCTAGAACTGTATGTTATGACATACTTTTTTATATTTTGCAGGAATAAGTAAAACATCATATATAAAATAAACTTCCTGTGCAATACTAACCTTGGTAAAACAAAAATATAAAATACAATGCTTTTTATTACAATGTCCATTATGACCTCATAAATTCCTGATAAGTTCTTATATAAAACAATAACCATGTATTATTACTTAAAACATTGTTAAAACAATGAAATAAAACCAACTATGGCAATAAATAGATTATTAAAAGAACATCACACTTCATACTAATATTATAAATGCAAAAGTTTAGATGGATGGGTGTTTGTTAAAGTTTGTAGCCTAAACGGCTGAACAGATTTTGATGAAATTTGGTATGGATGTAGAGGATAATCTGGAAAAACACATAGGGCGGAGTCACAGGCGAAAGCTAGTATTAACTAAAGATCTTACTAAATGAAACCATAACTATTTAATGATTTTATCAAAAAGATTGAAGATAATTGAAAATGTGAAATATGAGATTAAAAAAGTAAATAGCAGAATGTAAAATTGGTTGACAGAACTCAGTATGTTCTGAAAAAATCGCCAATAGCTGATATCAATTAAGAAACTGAAAGAGGACAACAAAAGTGTTAGTTGCTTCCTTGGTTGAATAAAGGTAGGCAGTACTTCTAAAAATGCTTATGTCTAGGGCAGTGGTTGCTTTATTTTGATGATTACCAGTGGCTGTTTATTCATTTGTCACCTTTTAATATAAAGTTTTATTATAAAGAGGTAAGATTTGGATTTTTGTATGTGTTAAAATAATTTAAAACCTACTGGGCCAATTTGAAAATTACTTTTACCATTAAAATGTTATGTTATCAGTAAGTAATATATGCTATATTTTTTAATTTCATGCAGACAAAGTCGTGAGCAAAAGCTATTACAAAAGTACAAAGTATAATCTTACTAAATTTATAAATGCGAAAGTTTGCATGGATGTGTAGGTCTATAGTTTTGGGGTCAAGTACAGGGCCTTGTGTTTAAATGAGGAAATACCTCATAAAGATTTGTTTGCTCTGGCAGATTGTGTGGTTTGATTTAACCACAAATTAGTACTAACAAATATATTATTATATCTATATTCTACTGTCAAATGTTTTTATTATTGATATCTTACTAATATTATAAATGCGAAAGTTTAGATGGATGGATGTTAGAATTTGTAGCCTAAACAACTGAATGTATTTCAATGAAATCTGGTACAGATGTAGCGGACAGTCTGGAAGGACACATAGGCTACTCACTTTTTTTTTTTAATTCTAAGCGGACGGAG